ATATAAATCCTGTATAATAATAATAATATTTACTTTGTTTAAACTTTTTTTTGCATTTCTTCAGTTACTGCCTGGTTGGCTTAGGCAAATGATGTCATACATCCCAGGAGTCTTTAGGAGGAGAGAAGGGGAGGAGGGGGTTCTCTTGCATTTGTGCCTGGGCTAAGAGCAGATAGATTCCAGAAAGTAAATGCTACATTATTCATCTGCCCCTACTTAAGATAGCCAATTAGCCATGGCCAGAAATGCTGGGGAGTATTTTTTAAAGTGAATTTTCAAGTGGTTGTAACCCCTTTACATTTTCCCAGTGAAGTGACTGGCCTCAGGTGATACACAGAGATAAAATAAATCCTCTTACATAAATTGTACCTGTTTATCTACAGCTGACTTTCCCCTACTGTGCATCCAGTCAAAGTGCAGAATTTACACAGGATCTCTCAGCTCTGAAAAGCAGGGGGCGGAGAGCTGAAGTTACATCAGTGAAGAAAATTCTGAGAGCTGACTGGAGGGAAGGGACACACCCTCCTTCACAGAGTTCACAGGAACAGAGCTGAGGCTGTCAATCTGCTAGAGATCCCTCCTCCTGTCACCATTTTGCTCTTGGTGTCAGGGAAACTTGTCAGAAGTGACTCATGCTGATAGCAGACGAAGGAAGCAGCAGACAGAAATGACACTTAGTGCTCTTAATTGAGACAAGTTCACACTATGGAGGGCTATGCTTTTTTCAAATTTTATGTCTGAGGTTTCATAATCACTTTAATGCAAAATAAAAACAAAATGGATTTAAGGCTAGGTTCACACCTATGCAGGTTGTGTTTGAGCCGTTTCTGCTTGAGCCGTTTCTGCATTGCATTTTGCACCTGTGATTTTTACATGTTTTTAATGCGTTTTTGCTGTTTTTTTGCTTTTTTTTTTTTTTTTGCTAGGCAGATTTAAAACGAAAAACACAGCAAAAACGCTTTTCTGCTCTTCCATTGAAGTCTATAGAACCAAAAAGGCAACTTTTTGCATTCAAAAAAAGTCCCTGATCCTTTCTAAAAAACTAACCGGGTGAAAACATGGAGATGTGAACCTGTCCCATAGAAAAATGGACTGTACTGCATTTAGGTGTCCGTTTATGAACCAGCAGTAATAGATCGCTGCTCAGTTCTCCGGCATTCTCGGAGAACACAGTTCTCCTGTGAATGCCGTTTATGAAGCATATGTAGATCAGTTCTCCAAACGAAGGGAGAACGGTCTACAAACGCTGGAAAACGGCTGATTTTACTATAATCTCGCGAGATTACAGTAAAAGATCAGTTTACTAAGCAGAGGTAAATTATCTCTGCTTAGTTTTCGGTCCCTCCGATTCTCCAGCTCTGGGCTGGAGAATCTGGAGTTAGAACACAGATCTCCAGAGAAGGGCTGAACATGTTCTCCTGAGTGTCATAAACTGTGAATGACCAGAGAATAGCTGCGATCCTCTGAATCTCAGCTATTCTGTGTGTCATAAACGGACACCATAATGGCATAATGAAGCGTTTTCCGCAGCGTTTTGCAGAAGCAAAGCTTAGGCGTCAATCAGTGTGGATCATTCATTATGCCATTAAATATTTTTGTATACTTCAAACATTAGTAAACTATCACATCACGTCCAAAAGAATACAAATGAATTTGTTTCATTATAACTTATTTCGGATTTGTTTAAATTCATTACTATTGTGATTCGGAGATTTGGATACATCCGAATAGCAAATATTATGTCCAAATTTTGATTCATAATGAAACTAATGGCACGTCTAGTTTTGACATCGATCTTTCCATTATTGTTTTGGATCGGTGATTCAGAAAGTTTTAAAGCCATAGACAGCCAGGCCACTATCATTGTTAGTGGAAAGTCAGCTGCTAAGAAAACAAACCAGGGTGCAATACAGTATATCTACAGGCAGGGGCGGACTGACAACTCATGGGGCCCCCGGGCAATCCTTACATCGCTTCCAGTGAAGGGAACTCTTAAGGTGTCCGTGTATGAAGGAAATTTTGGAAAATTGCTCTCAACTTTGGGGGAACAGTTTGGGGATGACCCCTTCCTGTTTGAACGTGACTGCGCACCAGTGCACAAAGCAAGGTCCATAAAGATATGCATAAGCAAGTTTGAAGTGGGGGAACATGACTGGCCTGTACCTCAACCCAACAGAACACCTTTGGGATGAATTAGAGCAGGGACTATGAGCCAGGGCTTCTCGTCTAACATCAGTCCCTGACAAGGGCGGACTGACAACTCATGGGGCCCCCGGGCAATAGGGGATCATGGGGCCCCTGTGTCCATGCCCAAACTCAAAAAAGCCTATGAAAAAGGTACCAGGGGCATCTCATGTGGCCCCTACTGATCCCAGGCCCTCAGGCAGTGCCCGAGTTTCCAAATGGTCAGTCCGCCCCTGTCTACAGGCAAAGTTGAAAAACCTTTGAAATTCTTTTATCCAACTTTTCTTCTGTTGCTTTTTTTATCCTCTTGTATCCAGCACAGTCTATTTCAATTTACTGTTCCATCATTGTAATTATTGTTTTGTTAGAAATAGCAGTATGAAATGATGACTCCTCTCTGACTGCAGAGAAATGTACATTACAGTCGCCAAAGCAATAAAATTCTATTGTATGTCAAGAATTAATTTACAGATATTCCCAATGTACGGAAATTAGTGAGCATATGGTGACAGCAAAACTGACATATGGTCATTGTTATTTAGGTTTATTGCATTAAAATAATATAATTTAAAAGTTATTGGTGCATGTGAGCAAAACATATGTGCCGCAATTAGTGACAGCTCTCATTAAAGGACTTTTTATGTGTTTGTCATGACTTTCTTATGTCTGTAGAGAGCCTGACTTCCTGCTAGTTCTGTTTTGGCTCAATTGGAACTGATTGTCCCTTTCATGAGGAAATGATTATCTTCATATGTTGCGTGCGTTCTTCATGGCTTGCTTCATTTATTTCAACCACTTTCCAATCTCCATGGAAAGTTCGGCCAGCTTGGATCGATGTAACTATGTATAGAACATATCTGATCAAAGCCACTGGAAGTTGAAAATCACTGAAGTAGACATTGCTACTATCCTGACCTCCACTAGCTTCCTAGTCCCATGCTGATTGGCTGCTCTCCTGCATTGTGAGCACAGAAAGTCGGTCAGGACGGGCACCATTCAGAGAATGATTTACATTTGCTTAATTTATGCAAAGTGTTCTCTGATTGAATGAGGTGGAGAGGTGGAGCAGGGACATCACACTCTCCACCTCATCCAATCAGAAAACACTTTGCATTTTTCAAGAGAATGCAAAGCATTCCTGGTTCACTCCTATGCAAGTTGAGGTTAATGCGTCTTCTCAGTGCATTTATCATTTTTTATTCACATGCATTTTTTGTTGTACGTTTTTTGAGTGCCCGAGTTTCCAAATGGTCAGTCCGCCCCTGATACTGGTAGATTAATTGGCTAAGCATATTAGGCTCTGAGCAAATTTGTGGGGACAAGAATATATAAATTCAAAAAATGTGACGACAAAATCTTGTGAGCTCAATAGATGTCTAGCAGGACAAAACAATATTTGTTTGTGCTTATCAAATATATCAAAACAGTTCTGATTATATATTTAACACACCAAAAGGAAGAACAGTTCAGGTTAGGGTTTACATACACTTTAAAGTGGTTGCAAACCCTCAGATATACTCAGTGAAGTGACTGGACTTAGGTGATACACAGAGATGAAACACATCTCCCTACATAAGTTGTACCAGTTTATCTGCAGTATTCTTTTCTCTAAATATGTTAAAAGTCCAGAATTTATAAAGCTTGTCTGAGATTTCAGAAAAAAGTGGGCAAAGAGCTGAAGTTACACCCTGCAGAGCCAGTGAGGAGAGCTCTGAGAGCTGATTGGAGGGTAGAGGCACACCCCCTCTCCCCACAGCTCACAGGAACAGAGCTGAGGCTGTCAATCTATTAGAGGTCCCTCCCCTGTCAGACTTTTTTGCTGTCAGGAAAACGTGTCAGAAGTGATTCATGCTGATAGCAGAAGAATTAAGCAGCAGATAGAAATGACACTTAGTGCTCTTAATTGACCCAAATACACACTATAGAAGGATATGCTTTGTACATATTTCATGGCTGAAGTTTACAACCACTTTAAGGGCCTGTTCGTAGCTATTTGTTGCAGCGCATTGACCAACACATGGCAATGCACCATAGAAACATTAGTGAGAATATTTTTCATGGCACCCAATTGCTCTACGTCAATGCACCTCTAAAGCATATGAATTGTGCTCACCACAACACATAGTAATGCACTACCACCAGGGGCGGACTGACAACTCATGGGGCCCCCGGGCAATAGGGGATCATGGGGCCCCCGTGTCCTTGCCCAAACTCAAAAAAGCCTATGAAAAAGGTACCAGGGGCATCTCATGGGGCAGTGCCCGAGTTTCCAAATGGTCAGTCCGCCCCTGACTACCACTCTTTGTTGGAGAACTTTATGCATGTCCAGTTTTTGATCCATTTTGACATGCTGGCTGCCCATACAAAATAATGCGTGGTAATGCATTGCAACAGACTGCATAGATCTGAACGGGCCCTATAAGGGCTCCTTTACAGTAGTGGTGTCCACTGATCCCCACACCACACCACAGCACTGCAGCTACATGCATTGCACGTGGCTGCAGCGTGGCTCCACTAAGTTGCAGTACTGAATACAAATGGGGGATCATTTTTGTCGTTCCCTGTGCAAAAGCATGGGTGTGGAATGTGAACACCCACATCCATTGCCTTCACAGCTGAAGGGGGAGCAGTTAGAAGGCAGTAAGAACACAACTCAACCGTGTGTTTTTATTGCCTCCCAACCTCAAGTGTAAAACTAGCCTAAGCCAACGTCAACCAGAAAGGTTACCTGATATTTTATTGGTTTATCTTCCATGGCAAGTGTAGATACAAATAGTGCTTAATGGATTCTTTCTATAATTTACACAAAACTTTATTTTGCAGATGACAACGAATGCCAAAATGCCACCTACATCTGCGGAGATCATGCCAACTGCACAAACACCAATGGAAGCTATTACTGCATGTGCGCCCCTGGCTATGTTTCAAGCGGCCTCCAGAGATTTATGACCAACGACGGGACGTATTGCCATGGTAAGTGGCTGTGCATGGCTCATAATTTACCCGCACATTTGTCCTCTCTAATCCATATCCCAGCCAATCAATTATTCATTTACATTAATATGATTATTAATATTGTCCATTCAAGTTTTATGCTTGCACTCTGGGAACAAATAGGCACATGAGATCTATTAGTCAAGCTCTGCATTTAATTAAAGCTACACTCCAGGCTATTGCAAAAATGCAACTGACCTCTACCCCTCCACCCCTCCTCTCTGTTCCAGCCATTGATGGACCTTAAAGCTGAACTCTGAACAATAAACTAAATCCATAGATCATATACATAGTAAAGTGATCTTTTATTTGTGGAAAGAATTATAAGGCTTCATTCACATGGCCAATAGTGATGGGTCGAACACCCCCCTGTTCAGTTCAGTGGTCAAACATTTGAACCTAATGAAAGTTCGACCACAAACTTCAAACAGGGACAGCTCCCTAAGCAGTATCTTACCGCATCTGAGTATACGGTGAGATACCGCAGAGCTACTAAAATACCGCATGAGTTATATTAATAGTTATAAGTCATATTAATAATATTAAGTCATGTGGTATTTTAGTAGTGAAAACATTATTTAATGTTTCAGCTGTCAGAGGGGTTCCACACTGACAGCTGAATGTAAAAAGAATTGCCAGCAATTAATTTTTTTTTTAAATGGCACGGGGTCCCCTGCAGCCCAGCAGGTCAGGAAAGGGGGTGGACGAGTGAGCGCCCCTCCCATCCTCCTAAACTATACCAGGCTACATGCCCTAAACATGGAGGGGTGCTTTGGGGCAGGGGGGGATCCCCCCCCAAAGCATCTTATTCTCATGTTGATGAGGACAAGGGCCTCTTCTCCACAACCGTGGCTGGTGGTTGTGGGGGTCTGTGGGAAGGGGGCTTATCAGAATCTGGAAGTCCCCTTTAATAAAGGGGCCCCAAGATCCCCCCCCATGTGATTGAGTATGGGGTACATGGTAAAAAAAAGTGTAGTGCAAAAAATGACAGAAGACAAGTCCTTTATTAAAAACAAAACTTAGAAAAAGTGTCCCCGATACAGATCCAACATCAATCATGATGTCTCCCGCCACCGCCAACCTGAAAAAAAGAAAGCTGTCGATGCTGGCTCCCACCGTCTGACAGCTGTGCCCACCTTACAGTTCCTAAATACTGTGATGACATCACAAGGGGGCAGGGTGTCCCCCCCCCTTCTGACATCATCGTGTGGTGTAATTGGCCAAAGCATTGCACCTGACCTGTGATCAGGTGTATTGCTTTAGCCAATCAAAATGCACTGTCAGGGCGCAGTGCATTGTGGGGCATGGCAGGCGAAAAGCCCGCCAAATTCCCTTACCATTCAGGTGTTTATCTGAGGCGAACGTATGCTCAGCTCGAAGATCAAGCCCAACTCTAATGGCCATACAATGTGCTGAGCCTGCGTGTTCTCCCTCCTGGGACCCGCAAGTGCCATGGACAGCTGGCCATGGAGATTAATTACAAGACGACATTGTACACGGTTAATTGTTGGGAATGCATAAAGCACCCACACATGCATGGACGTATGCTCCTAATGTACATGATTCACACAAAGGCCTGCTCACACCAGGTGCAGCAGACCTGCATTGGGCAGCCACCTCAAGACAAGGTAAAATGCCTTGTCTCCTATCAAGCCAGTTCAGTATGGTTTAGGTCCCACTGTTTAGGTCCCAAGGTTCTTTCCCAGCAGATGCATCCGCAGCCAGGCACACATTCACAGTCATTCTCTTAGCCCGGTAATCAGTCTAGGGGTATGGTTTTCTGTTGCTTTATTTTAGAGCTTGAACTTGGATGGGTATAGGGTAACTGTGGGGCACTCCAGCAATGCGAAGCACTAACTTGAGGATACTAATCTTCCTTCTAGGAATTTGAGCACAGTTCTTGTAGCAGCAAATATTGGTCTGAGCTACTATATACTGGGACACAAAGCATAAATGTCTCTTTAAGTAACGCTGGCTCTAGTACAAGAGGATTGCCACAGTCCCTTGGATAATTCACACCAGTCTGTACTCACTAATATCCTTGAATAATTGGATGCCTCCTTCCAATTTCTTCCAGACACCTGTCCTGTGAATTCTTCATACCTGATCCCCAAAAGAAAGTCCCTTAGTCAGGTTCAGTGAATTTCAGCAAAATAGGCCCCCCCCCCCCCCAATGCTAGCATCGCTGGGACCTGATGAACAGCAGACACATGACAGGCCTGCACAGAAGAGCAGCATCCCTCCAGGCTAGATTTCCTCCTCCACCTCCTCCTCCAGGACAAAAACCCCTCTGCTCCAAGTCTCAGGGTATTTATGCTGCATCTCGGCCACCATCTGGTCACACTCTCCCCAGGGATTGGCTAGGGCTGCATAAATATTCAGCTGCTGATTTGCCCCTCCCAGGCCATTATCTTCCAGAATCCTCCAGAGAGATAGGGGGAAGCAGTCAACCCTGCAGCCAATGAAACACAGAACAGACCAAAATAATCACATGCAGCTCAACTAATTACAGTGAGCCAGAAACTAAATTTACCTAACATAGCACGTCATGGTGCAATACAATCTACTGTTAGGACTTAATGAAATGTCACCTACTGAACCTACTGTAACTTAAAAGAGTTCTGTTGCTTTAAATAAAATAAATAAAATAACTTCCCTGCAAAGAAGACTCAATATTTTTCTATGGGTGGTGGATCCACACTTCCCTGTATTCAAAAATGTTAGTGGTTTTAAAAACTACCTGATATGTCAAATTCCTGTCCCCCTGCTGCACGCTGTGATTTTGTCCATCAACCTCTGTGTCACTACAGGACACAGTAGAGATGTAGGGTTTAGCAGATGGAACCACAACATGCAGCAGTGGTACAAGAATACCACATACGGTACAGCATCTGACATTCCCAGAAGTGTGATGTATGCTGTAGATTCCTCAGCCAATATATTACTTCAAGAAAGCGAAGATCAGTCGAAGTAAAGGCTCTCATTAGCTCTTTTTCTTAACAGGGAACACTGTTTTATATTTAATGCAGTGGCAGTAGCTTTAATGACTTTTAAGATAATCTTAGTGTTATAGAGAGTTTGTTTTTGTCGGTCAGATCAGATCTATCCCATAGGCTTGCACTGGACCGAGAAAGGGGAACACAGTAGCACAAAAACTGCGTAGAACTACCTAGGAACCAGCCCTGTATATTGTATGTAAATGAGCAAATATTACTGTATTTGCATATTTATTTACAAACTATACATTGAAAAATGGGCATCGCAGATTGTTGAGTATGGGGTTGCGTAGCCACACACCAGTTAAGGTGCCCATTCTGACTTGGGTCCACAGCCAAAAGTGCCTACAATGGGTACATGAACATTAGAACTGGACCACAGAGCAATGGAAGAACGTGGCCTGGCTTGATGAATCACGTTTTATTTTACATGTGGATGGTTGTGTGTGTGCGTCACTTACCTGGGGAAAAGATGGCACCAGGATTCAGTAAGGCAAGCCGGTGGAGGTAGTGTGATGCTTTGAGCAATGTTCTACTGGAAAATTCTTGGGTCCTTCCATTCATGTGGCTATTACTTTGACACATACCACATGTTTAGGCAACATTGTTGATGACCAAGTACACCCCTTCATGGACACAGTATTCCCTGATGGCACTTTCAGCAGGATAATGTGCCCTGCCACACTGCAAAAATGGTTCACAAATGGCTTAAGAAACGCAATAATGAGTCTGAGATGAAGACTTGGCCTCCAAATTCTCAAGACCTCAATCCATGGAATGTCCTGGACTTGGGGATGTCCTGGAAAAACAAATCTGATCCATAGAGGCCCTGCCTCACAACTTTCAGGACTTAAATGTTCTGCTATTGATGGCTTGGTGCCAGATACCACAGGTCCTGCCATTCAGGTGGATTTTACTTACATACCATGTACCTAAACATTGTTGCTGACCAAGTACTTCATGGAAACGGTATTCCCTGATTGCACTTTCAGCAGGAAAATGTGCCACACTGCACAAATGGTTCATGAATGGTTTGAGGAACACAATCATGAGTATAAGGTGAAGACCTGGCCTCCAAATTCTCCAGATCTCTATCCATGGAATGTCCTGGACTTGGGATGTCCTGGAAAAACAGGTATGATCCACAGAGGCCCCACCTCACAATTTACAACACTTGAAGGTTCTTCTACTGATGTCTTGATGCCAGATACCACAGGATACCTACAGAGGTCTAATGGCGTCTGTGCCATGATAGATCAGCATTGTTTTGGTGCCAAAAGGGGGACCTGCTCAAATTTAGGTAGCTCGTCATATTGTTATAATGTTATGAATGATATACACTATATTGCCAAAAGTATTGGGTCAGTCGTCCAAAACATTGGATTCAGGTGTTCCAATCACCTCCATGGTCTCAGGTGTATAAAATTAAGCACCTAGGCATGCAGACTGCTTCTACAAAGATTTGTGAAAGAATGTGTCGCTTTCAGGAGCTCAGTGAATTCAAGCGTGGTACTGTGATAGGTTCCCACCTGTGCAATATGTCCATCCGAGAAATTTCCTTTCTACTAAATATTAGTGGTATTATAACAAAGTGGAAGCAACTGGGAACAACAGCCTCTCAGCCATGAAGTGGTAGGCCATGTAAAATCACAGAGCGGGGTCAGCACATGCTGAAGCACACAGTGTGCAGAAGTCGCCAACTATCTGCAGTCAATAGCTAAAGACCTCCAAACTTCATGTGGCCTTCTGATTAGAACAACAACAGTGTGTAGAGAGCTTCATGGAATGGGTTTCCATGGCTGAACAGATGCATCAAAGCCTTACATCACCAAGTGCAATGGAAAGCGTCAGATACAGTGGCATAAATCACGCTTCTCTGTCTGGCAATTCCATGGATGTGTCTAGGTTTGGTGGCAGCCAGGAGAACAGTACTACTGGTGTATGGTTGTTTCTCAGGGGTTGGGCTTGACCCTTTTGTTCCAG